AAATTAAGATGTTCAGCAGGGGTTTTAAAATTTTTATAACTTACAAGTTATGATAGATATTAAATTAGTTTTGAACATGACATTTTTTAATAAAAAGATAAATATATAAGTTTTTTTGATGGATTTTTAGATATAAAAAAATTTTCATTCACAAATTAAAATATTTATACATATATCTAATTAATTAAATTAATATTTGATCAAAAAATAACTAAAATTAAAATATTTAATCTTACAATACAAGTTATATACTTGATTGTGTTTAACAACTATATCTCTTAATAAAATATATTTTTTTATATAAAACATATTTTTAAAACTTAAAAACACATTGATAAGCATGTAGGGCTTGGATAACAAAGATTTTTGACAACAAAGAATAAAATTGTATTATTTTAATTTTGAGTTAAATAAAAAAATAATCATCATTAATAAATAATAAAATTGTGTTATGTTTTTAAATTAAGAGACATAAAAAGCATTAAACAAGAAAAAAAAAAACTTGGATGATATGAATTAACATGTTAAACATACAATCTGACTAATAAACTTAATTGAGTTGAATGATTTATTTTATTAATTTTTTTAAAATCAAATATAACATAGCAACATACAAAATAGAAAGAGCTCAATCGTGTAGATCCAATATTGGTCCAACATTCAAAATATAGCTCAAGCTTGCGGGCCTTCTATCCTAACAAGCTTGTCTTTATTTGTTTTATTTTTTAAGGGGTTGAACCCTAGCTCTTTCTTTAAGTAAAAAAACAAATATCAGACTATGCATTATCTGTTTTCTATAGAATTCACTAACCATTAGACTATGCATTATCTATTTTTTATAGAATTCACCAACCAGAGGTTATTGAAGAATAAAAAATTCAGTTTTAATTAAAAATTTGTTTTTAAACCTAGTTTTATCCAAAACATAAAAAATACCCCCTAAAAATCTTGATAAACCCATATATGGTCTAAAAAATTAAAAAAATAGCTTAATGAACCCAAAATCTATTGGAACCCGAAATTCTTCTTCCAGTTCTCATCAAGCAAGTAGAAGGAGGAAAAACACTAGGTGAAACTTCAAATAAAAATTATTGACACCAATATTTATTATTTTTATGGTTAGAATAGTCAAAAACAACTACTTTTCTCTTTTCATATTAGAATCCAAGGAGTCTCTTTCTTATCTCATAATATAGAGATTGAAAATAAAAAAATAAATTTTAGTATTAAAATTAAATTTGAAACAATTAAAAGAACCGACCATCCAATAATTAAAAAAATAAAGTATAAAAATAAAGTATAAAAATTTTTCAAATGAAATTAAAAATCATCATTTACTTTATCCGTTATTTTCACTTTAATGCTTTCAATCCATCCCAACCCTTTTCTAAAAAAGTTGAAAATTGGCCTCAATTGTAAAAAGAAAAAAAAAAGTTTGGGAATTGTTGGAGGTTGAACAGTAAAAAATGATACAATGGTTTAGCTCCTGTTAATTAATTTGCTTTTGTAAAGGAAATATTGTAAATCTCTAACCTTCCCATCCCACGGGTATACCCACCCTTACGGGGTACAATTTGCTTAAAAAGATATTTGACTTCTATTCATAGAAAAATAATTAGGAATTTCGATGTAGCATACGAGTAATTCATCCAAAAATAATTAAACTTTGAATGAAGTCATGAAAACAAACAAAATAGAGCAAGTTGTAGAGGTAATTGGGCACATCTGCTCCTCACCAACTGGCACAGAATATCACTTTTCCTCCAGGATCAACTAAAGCCTTGTGAAGGAATGTCCCTTTCGCAAACAACTAGAAAACAAGAATTAAAAAAAAAAAAAAAAAGAGGAGTAGGAATCATGTATTTTGGAGGATTGCCTTGAAGATGAAGCATGCAGGCCCTTTACAGCCCAACATGATAATAATAACAATGCATGCATCATCTTTCGGATCAAGCAGCCTTGACGACGACAAGCAAGGAACCTAAACTCTCCCTCCGTTCAATGCCATTTATATAAGACTCCATCTTCTTGCACAAAACACATGTACTTGAACTAGTGTTGCATGCATTGCGCTGTTAGAGTCCTCGAAACATTAACTCCAAAATCCTTTCATCCTTCTACAAATCTTAATTTAGTACTGTACAACAATGGTACTCTCGCAGCAGATGAAACTTGTTGCCTCGCTACTTCTGGTCTTAAATTTCTGCATGTATGTCATTGTTTTGGGGATTGGCGGTTGGGCTATGAATAGAGCCATTGATCATGGTTTCATCATTGGTAAATCACCCTCTCGCCTTCTTTACTCTCTTTTTCTTTATTAACTCTGATGCACTACTTGTCTTCCGCTAGCACGTTCTGTGTGCTGATTATGTTACTTACAAGTTAATTTCAGGACCTGGGTTTAACCTTCCAGCACATTTCTCACCTATTTACTTCCCTATGGGGAATGCTGCCACTGGATTCTTTGTGATGTTTGCTTTGATCGCCGGAGTTGTTGGTGCTGCCTCAGCAATTGTTGGTCTTAATCACATTCGGACTTGGACCGGCGACAGCTTGCCATCTGCAGCCTCCGCTGCTGCCGTTTCTTGGACTCTCACTCTTCTAGCCATGGGGTAAGCAACCACCATCCATCACGTTTCGCCCTTTCTCTCAGCAACTCTTTAAGCAATCAACAAAGTATTAGACAAGGTTCCATATTTGGGATAAGAGAAGATAGATTTTCTCAAGCCACTTTAAAATGCTCAATTTAAGTTCAAAAAGAAAGAAACTGAAAGATACATATGCTTCTTTCGTGCTATGCTGATCACTGACTGACAACAAAATTTGTGCAGCTTCGCCTGCAAAGAAATTGAGCTCTCTATCAGGAACGCCCGTCTGGTAAGAATAAACAGAGATTCGTCACTTGTCATGTATACTTTAACTGGCCAAGATTTCAACCTTGCGCATAACCATGCACCAGAAATTGATGACAAGTATTTTTCTTTCTGCAGAGAACCATGGAGGCATTTCTGATAATCCTTTCTGCTACACAGCTTCTATACATAGCAGCCATCCACGGTGCCTCCTCATTTAGGAGACCTTAAGAGAGAGTCCCTTTAAGCATGCTTGGTGTGTTTTCATTTTCATTTTCTTTTTCCGGCTCTCTCTGGGGCATGAAATTAACTAGGAGATTGATGTTTTTCTGTGTGATTGGTGTGGATTTTTATGAACAAATAATTAACAAGGAAATGGTGTGAGCATCATTTATAATTTCATTATGAGGTCTCTTGCTTCTCTGAGACATCAATTGTTTATTCCGACAGAATAAATAAATTAGACTGTATTATTTAATGCTTATTTAATGCACGTTGTTTTGGATCATCATTTAAATAAATTGGATTATATATATATATATATGATGGATGTGCGTTTAATTATAATTTCAATAAATCGGGATTTGAAAGTTTAATTTTATAATTGTTTTGTGTCATTGAAATACGCTAACATATATGATATTGAACAAATCCACCATTCACTAAAAAGAAAAAAATAAAAACTCTACACCCGGGTTGTAATCAATTTTTTTTTTAATGCCAAAAGATAAATATGGCAATAAATTGAAACAAAAAGGTATATTAAAATATATGATCTTGTTATATAAAAAAATTTAAAATTTTTTTATTTAATTACACAACAATAAAATTATTTCTTATAAAAAATAATTATTTCAACTTCATTGAAAAGAAATATATAGCAGGGTTCTTAATACACAAAAATGTGTATTAAGCATTGACATGAAAAAAAAATCATTAAGGAAAAATATTTTTTTTTCAAAACTTTCTTCCTATCTTTCTATGATTCATGTAATATTATCTATTAAAAAAAACAAAAACAATTATAAAAAGTATAGTTCATTCCCAAAATAGATCTTCTTAAATATTTCATATTTTCTATTAAAATAAATTAAAAGAAAAATATCTAGATCTTAAATTTATTTTAATAAAATATTCATGACAACAAACATAAAATAATATGCATAATAGATTCATATTAAATAATTAATGAAATAATTACTAATACAGAAAAGCAGCAACAATAACAACAAAAAAATATATACTAAATTGATTAATATCTAATAAAATAATATCTCAAATATAATATTATTTATTCAATTATAGAATACTATAATACCATAAAGGGTATAATAAAAATAAACCTGATAATAACATAGAAAAATATCATTATCTTATCTAAAAATAAATTCAAAAATAATTTTAGTTATTTTTATAAAAATTAAGTAGATTTTTTTTTATAAAAAAATAAGAGTCTTACACAAGAGAGCTCAAGAGTCTTCACCTAGATGGCCCACTCTTATCTCTAAAAGTGGTTAGGCACGTGTTAGGCTTACAAGGATAAGCATATGTATCTAGCCTATTATTTATTTATATTTTTTTTATTAAGATTAAAGGATAATACATGGTCAACACAATGTTTTATATATAGAAAACAATATGTTATTTTCACTAATAATATATTTCTAGTTGTAATAAAAACTTGAATTATTTTTTAACTTGACTTTATATTAAGTTATAGAGGTTGATATAACACTATTCAATTGAGTTAATAAGCAAAAAGCTAACCTCAATGATATTTTTTAAAATAATATTAAAATAATAATATATTTAATCAATCAAGTCAAGCTACTAAGCTAATCATTTAGATCTTGGTTTGAAATGAATTTAATTTAGATCTTGGTTTGAAGTGGATTTAATAAGTTTGGTGTTTTAAACTAGTTATTATTTAATTACATAGAGGAAATAAATAATCACAACAAAACAACCATACAAAATAAAATAAAAAATGATTATAATGGATTGCATTAAAGTATGTATGTTAATATTACAAAAAAATTTATATTATATCACTCAAAAATAAAGAGAAAAATAAATGGAATTTAATAAGATAATATCTAAAATATATTTTAATTAATTTAATATTTTTTAAATATATATATACACACACACTTTAAATTAACTAATTCTTAAGAAGTTTCAATTTTTTTAATTAAAAAAAAAAAAACCAGACATGGAGGTCTGAACAACTCACCATGTCTGGGCCATGTAAAAGAATCCTAGGCCTCAACATGGAGTCCACTCAATTTTTTTAATAAAAGTAAAAAAACAACGCGTAGGCCTATTGAATGAAGAATTAGGCTGGTTTAAAAAAACCTAATTTTTAACATATTTTTATCTTAAAAAACTTTTATAACCTATAAAAAATAATTACTAAATTAAAAAAACTCAAAATTGATTAAAAACACAATTAAATAGCTATCTCTCATTATAATAATTTTATTTTTAAAAAATAATTTCTTAATTAAAACTCCTATATATTATTTCTAAAAAAACAAAATCCAAAATCCTCTCACGATGACCAGCTGACCTTGTTCTGTCTCATCCATCATTTTTCAATAGTTATCTCTCATTTTTGGCTAAATCATTAATAGATGAGTTTTTTAACTAAATCAAATCATTAATTGCAAAACTAAATCCTAAGCCAAAAAAACTAGGAAAATTAAGCAACGGACATCATTTTCTTTGTTTATTTGGCTTTTTCTTTATTTTAATTTTAGTACTCATTTTTAATACTTTTCAAACAATAAAATTAAATTCTTTTTCATAAAATAAAACACCAACCAAACCTCAAATGACCTTTTAAGATCAAAATAACTATAGATTAAAACAAATGATCAAACCCAAATCCCAAACAAAGAAATAGAGCTGACAGCATGGCTTTTTAAAAATAAAAAGAATATTATTTTTTTATTTCAATTTTAATCCTTTCATTTTAAAACACCAATCCAATATCTAGATTTTTTAAAAAATCATCATGATAATAATAAAATTGAAAAGAAAATTTTGATGATCAAAGGGAAAAAAATAAATAGAAAAAAAAAGAAGAGGAAAACACTACTATAATTCACAGTGTGTTTTAAGGATGAAAATAGTATTTTCTCCGCATCCTTTTATACTTTTTTATTTTATTAATTTTAATTTTAATTTTAGACCTCGCATGCCCATTATAAAATTATAAAACGAAAGGCATCCATACATACCAAAGTGCACAATTGAAGCAGAACCTAATAGAAGGTAAAATTACTAAATTACAAAAAGAAAAGGAAAATTACTACATCAATCACAATTCAGCAAGTAGCAATAATAGGAGAGGAAAGGGGGAGGAGAAAACACCAATCTGCCCATGCTAATCAAAAATGGAAGGAAAAAAAGACTTACAACATGCGGTCTCTGCTAACACCATAAAAAATAAACAAGGAAATCAGGCTTAGGCTTGGTCGAACTAAGCTAGGCACCATTGATGAAACTCAATAATTGCCTAGTTTATATAGCTGTTTTATCTATATAGGTTTTCTGCAATTTATTGTTTCGGAAAATTTTCTAAGAGATTCTAACTCTCGTATCTCAAACTTGTACAAACCAGATCCTTCTCAGATTCCCAGTCCACGACAGCTTCCTCGTGCTAACTTCTGCAACAGATGTATGGGGTATCACGAAACAAGACGACAAGACAACAGCCATATGGAAATGTGCAGAAATCTCAGCTTTAGAGGGTAGTTGAACAAAGCAAGAAAACCAAAATATCATCACCCCTTAAACCATAGTTGAACCAAATCAAAATAATGAGAAACAACACCCCAGTAAAAAGAATCTGCAGATGGTGCCAATCTGAAAAACCTTTTGAAAGGGAAACTACCTCACAATTGGTTTTTTGAGTCCAGAATCTCTCCAGATTTATTTTCTCAAAAACCAAAAAGAAAAGGAGAGGGTACAACTCAAAATGAGGAAGCACCAGAGAATACGTGAGCAAAACCAGCAAACTGGACAAGTTAGTATTTTCAACTATTAAAGAGGTTTTATTGGAAAAAAAATAATTTAAATGATGTTCCGAAAGAAAAATCCCTAGATTTTATATAGCAGAGAATTTATACAATTCCTAGGTTATCTGTCAAAGGTGATACTAGCACCAGGTTAACAGCCCCATTAAAAGCAACTCATCAAATAATTATCTTGATAATGATTCATACTTCTCGAGAGTTATGAGCAACCATAATGTTGAAAAAGAAGAGCACATATATTGACTTTAAGGCCTAAAAAGCATAGGAATCCCAAGATTAGTAAAATTTAGGAGCTTCCATCTGCTTTGTAAAATGCATGAACCACATGAGCCTCTGTGATTTGCAATGCACTTTTTTTTTTTTTTAATACATGATAAATCTACAGAACACTTGAAAAGGCACATCTTGCATAACAAGGCATCAAAACATATCACAACAGAGCACGCGCGCATATATGCAGTATATGTACAGGATCTCGATATCCAACCAAATCACATTCTGATTAACTTGAGGGAATGCTACTAACCTGAAATTATCTATTTGGAGCCCGTAAGAACATCAAATATACCACAGCAACTCATCCACGATGTTCTTTCAGCTACTCGTGGACCACAAGCAAGAGGAGGCTGCGGATAAATTAAGCAAAGCAGAGCATATTCACTTGTTAATGCAACAAATTCAAGAAAAAGAATGACAGGCCCTCATCAACATGAAGAGACAAACCTTATTTTCAGTAATTTGACGAGCATCAGTGTATTTAGTTTTTTCTTCACCATTACCAGTTTCAGCAGAATGACTGGCTGATGATACCAATGTTTTCCCTACATTTCCATATGCAGAAGAACCAACCACATTTGCAGATGCCCCAACATTCTCATCTGAAATAGGAAAAACTTTATCTTCATTTTTCTTTGGCACTACAGTAGCTGGTGAAACTTCAGCAATCTCATTGGGTACAGGCAACAGTTTATCCTCATCTTCCGCAAAACAAGATTCAACCACTTTTTCATTTTTCTTTGGCACTACAGTAGCTGGTGAAACTACACCAATTTCATTGGATACAGGCAACAGTTTGTACTCATCTTTCTCAAAACAAGATTCAACCACTTCTTCATTTTTCTTTGGCACTACAGTAGCTGGTGAAACTTCAGCAGTCTCATTGGATACAGGCAACAGTTTGTCCTCATCTTCCTCAAAACAAGATTCAACCACTTCCAGAACCTCCGGATTTTCAACTTGAGCAATCTCAATAACAAATTTTTCTGTCTCAGATATAGGCACCACAGGATCAACCAAATCAGCAGAAGCAGTTTCCAAAACTGAATTACTATCAGCTTCCTTGACTAGTTTCTCATTTTCAGAGATCTGCTTCACCTCTTCAGAAAAAGAACCAATTTCCTTTTCTTCATCATTGGCTTCCTTCGATTTCTTCTCGAAATCCTGAGACTCATTGCTGAAACTACTACTGCTAGAGCTCCTGTCATCTTCATCATGAGATTCCTTTGAAGAATCAACATGCTCAATAGAAACACTTTTACTCTCAATATTTACAGCAATGCTGTCCTCTGATTCAACTTGTAGGCTTCCTTCTGCATCCCCAGTGACTACCTCCATGGGCTTGTTCTTGTTGGCTAATGAATCAGAAGGCGATGGGCCTCCCTTCTCATATTCTTCATTCCCCTCATTAAATGGATGCTGGTGATTGTGTTGGTCCTGTGATACAGAGGTACCAACCTCACCACCATCAGTCTCTGTTTCATCATGGCTTTTTGGGTCATCATTTCCTGAAACCATTGATAAAACCACAAGAACTTACAGTTAGAAAAATGGTTAAAGAAAACGATTCCAGTCAAATTTAAGGACAACAAAATGAACTAAGAAATGCCCATCAAGCCAATATGCTTCTGTAATGAAAGGTAGGTGGGAACCCAATGATGGATTCGATACATGAATTCAACAAAAAAATAAAAATGCACCACTTTCACACTAGTGATAAGAGACCAACTAACGCTGTAACTCATATCCAATCAATTTCATAAAAAATAAATTAAAAAAAAAAGAACTGTTGCAAACAGAATGGCATGATGATTAAGCTGCAAGCAAGCATTTCAACTATACTCCAACAATATTCAAGGGAAGCAAGGAAGCCCCATTAACAAATGTACAATACAATATATTGATCACTAAACTTAACCAAATTTAGAAAAAAGGTAAACATCAGGACAACAGTGCTGTAGGTTAAAGTAATCACAATCAAAATGTCAAAGAAATTCTTAAGCCTAAAACACCAGGAAAAAAAAATACACATCCACGCAATTCCAATCAAATCAAGCAAAACATGAAACATAAACAGATACATCTAATCCAAATACTAAAAAAAAGAAAAACAAGAATTCAATCAAAACCAAGCTAAAAGAAGGACGTGAAAAGATACCCATTAACCAGATTGCCAGAAAAACAACAAAACCAGTACATAAAAAAAACGATCAACCTCGATCAACAAGGGATATCTACAGACTCATTAACCCAAAATCCACAAAACACCAAAACTACGACAACAGACCCAATCAAAACCAAAGGGTCATTGGTAAGTACCCATCACAAATTGCATGGAGAAATGAACCAATCCAATCAAACGCAATCAAAACAAGACTTATCAACAAAAACCATTACTCGGATTCAAATAACATGCCTAACAGGCTCAGTCAGTGAGTGCATGATCGAGTGACAGATTGGCAAGTGATGGGTTATTGTAGTTAAGAAGCGAAAACCCTTTGGACAAATTTGAAAAAAGAAACTACCTTGATGATTGTCGGTACTGATTGAAGAGTTGTTGTTGTTGTTGGCCTCCTGTTCCCTCTTTTTCTTGGCTGCTTTCCTCTTCTTAGCACCGGATGGCATGATTGATTTTAGCTTTAGCCCTTAGTAACTCAATAATCTCTTTCTTGTGGGGCTGTCAAACCCACAAAAAAAAAAATATGCACAGATCGTGGGCTGCCTCCCTCTCTCACTGTAGGCTTTGTATGTACAGTAAACTGCAACGCAAAAAGAGAAAAGGAGCACTTGGTAGTAGTTAGCAGAGGTAAGGTGAGAGGAGAAGAAGAGGATCGTGAAGACGATCTAAAAACAGTACTTATTTGTTTTTTTCTAGATGCCAAATCTTCATTTCAAGCGTCATATACGCAAGAGAGTGTCCTTCTCGCTCCCTCCCCGTACAATACGTGTGCGCGTCTGCATTTTCTGTGGTTTTTTTTTTTCTTCTTGTTAATATTCTTGGAGCAACCTTGTATGGTAATATTAATTTAATTTTCGACCTCGTTAAGGATTGGCCCCGTTGAAAATTCAATAATGCTCTTTATTAACGAAGTAAGGATATATTTCTGAGAAGTATTACTGTAAGAGCTTCAACTGGGCTTTAAACTTTAATTGCTAGAGATATGCACGTTCCTTAAATTTAAAAGTAAATCTATTGGATGAGCAGGATTATTTTTAAATATTTTTTATTTAAAAATATATTAAAATAATAATTTTTAATTTTTTTAAAATTATTTTTAAAACCAATACCTTGAAAATCTTAAAAAACACGGTAGAACCGCGTTACTAGAAAAGATATTTATATTTCAGAAAATGGATGGTGCCTTTGAGGCAGGCATGTCGGCGGCGGAATTTGGCTTTTAGTGGATGAGAAGAGGCGTCGAATTTGCCAGATGATATTTGTTTCTGGATTGGGGTGGTGGCTTTTCTAGATTTCGGAAACTACAGGTGACATAAGGGTTTTTTTTTTGGCATTATGTCACCTCTGCGGCCCATTTCTTTTTTCTTTTTCTTTTTCTTTTTCTTTTTTTGAGAAAAAGGCTGCCATTTTTACTAAATAAAGTTTCTTGAGTGGGGATTTTGGTGGGATCTGGTTTTGAATTTGAGATTAAAAAGTACAGCTCAAAAAAGTTACAGTGACCTCAAATGTAATCCGTGCTTTAAATTTTGAAAACCATATTGGCATAAGGTCTGCTGTTGCTACCATTGCCATATGATAATATTATTACCTCAAAGACTAGATAGTGGGGGTATTTTAGTGTAGTTCAATTCTCAGTAAAATGGTAACAGTAAAATTATTTTTATGCGGTGTGATCCAAGAAAAAATTTGGGTAGCGGTGTTTATATTTTTTTTTCCTTCAAAGTAAAAATATTTTTTTATCATTAAAATCAACAAAATATAGAAGTATTGATAAAGAACTTTTTTAATTGTGCATAAGTTGTTAACAGTAAAAATATGAATGTGTCTCTAGAGTAAAAAAAAAAAATATAGTGTTTCTAGATATAGATGCTTTGGGGTTTTTAGATTTTATTGTGTAGTACAAATATATCTTTAATCTTAAAAGAGATAAAATATAAACTTAGTATTTGAAGGTATTTTTATACTTTTCATGTATGTATTTTATGTAATTATCGGGGGATATTTTGATATTTTTGAATTTATTAATGCTTAAAATTGTTAAAGAGCGTTTGGCATATGTCAGCACTTGAGTGATATTTGTGTCATTCAAACGGCACATGTGATGCCATGCCACCTGGTAGACATAAATTGGTGGTTTGTCGTTTTCTTAGATGCGTCGCCTTGTTCTCCTTTATTTGGAGTGATGCGTGGTAATTTATAGTAGTTGGATTATTATCAATGATCGTTTATTTTTTTTCTTTTTTTTCTCTCTCCTAATAGGTAACGTATATTATTGTCCTTTCTGTTTCTTTTTTTTCAACTTCAATCATCATTCTAAAAAAAAATATATATATATATATAATGTTTCTAGATAACGGTATTTTGGAGTTTTTAGATTTTATTGTGTAGTACAAATATATCTTTAATCTTAAAAGAGACAAAATATAAACTTAGTATTTGAAGGCATTTTTATACTTTTCATGTATATATTTTATGTAATTATCGGGGACATTTTGATATTTTTGAATTTATTAATGTTTAAAATTGTTAAAGAGCGTTTGGCATATGTCAGCACTTGGGTGATATTTGTGTCATTCAAACGGCGCATGTGATGCCACCTGGTAGACATAAATTGGTGGTTTGTCGTTTTCTTAGATGCGTTGCCTTGTTCTCCTTTATTTGAAGTGATGCGTGGTAATTTATAGTAGTTGAATTATTATCAATGATCGTTTATTTTTTTCCTCTTTTCTCTCTCTCCTAATAGGTAACGTACATTATTGTCCTTTTTGTTTCTTATTTTTCAACTTCAATCATCATTCTGTTAATTTTTTATTTAAATTTTTTCATTCAATAGAGGGGAAATAAATTGATTGAAGTTTTTTTATATTGTATAAAAGTTGGATAGTGATTATATTTTTTGTATTTGAGGTTAGGTTGAATTTTCTTATCAAAACATGTTTGCTTTTACTTTTTTAAAATACTTTAAAAAAAATAAAAAAATATATTTTATTCTTTTTCCATTTATAGATTTTTTTATTCTTTTCAATTTAGTCTTTCGATTGTAATTTCTCATCTCTTTGGTTTTTCCTTATAGTCCTCATTTTTTTTATTTCTAATTTTATCTTCGGCTCTTTTGTTGGATATTTTTCCTTTCAATTTCATCTTTCAATTAAATTTTTTGTTGTTTTATTTTTTATAATTTGACCTTCATTCTTTTGATTTTTTTCTTTTTATTAAAACTATTTTTCAATTCAATTAAACCCTCCAATTGAGAATTTTTATCCCTCTAATTCATGTTTTTTTCTCACCCTTGATTTTTTGGATCATTTTGTATAATTAATTTTTTTCTAGATTTATCTTTCAATATTTAATTTGTTAGGAATTCAGCTTCATATAATCTTATTGTTCTGCATTAGTTTTTTTAAAATATTGATTTTGTTATTTTCAAGTTTTTTCTATAGATTTATTCTAGTCTCATAATTTAGACCACAATTTTTGTATGTCTTTTTTTAATATAAGTTTTTTTTAGTTGTTATGTTTCTATTTTTTAAGGTATTATTTTAATTCATCTATAATTTTTAAATACAAATAAAATTTATTTTTAAAATAAAAAATATTTATTTTAAATTATATTGCTAATGAAGCATAGGTTAAATCGGTAGAATAAACAAGAAGTGACTCCTAACTACATTTTTAATATCTTCAAGTATTGGTTTTTGATGGTTTACAAGGTTATTTATGTAGAAAATCCAAAAAACATAAATAAAAATATTTTTTAAGTTGAATAGACAAATTAGACTTTAATTGCATAAGATGATTAATCCAATGATATAACTCAACTAAAGTCAATTATAATGGAAGGAATTAAAAATCAAATTTGTCAAACTGGTAAGATTTGTGAGGTCCTATTAATATGCAGAGGATATGTATTTGAGATTGTTTTGATAAAAAAAAAAAAAAACCTATTTGGATTGACATTTAAGTGTGCATTTGAGAATGTAATTGAAATTATAATTTTTAAAAATATAGATTTTTTTGTTTCAAATTATTTTTTAATATAATAATATTAAAAATAATTTTTTTAAAATAAAAAATATTATTTCAATATATTTCTAAATAAATAAATAATTGTATCATACTGCCATAAACTTTTTAAATGCCTAACTTAAAAAAAAAAAAAAAAACAATATACTCAATTCTTTTTAAATGCCTAACTTAAAAAAAAAAACAATATACTCAATGTTACACTTAAATAGGAAACACAATCATCATCTATGATTGGTCTCAATTAAAAAAATTAAAATAGTAAACCCTGTAATCATTACATAATAATCTAAAATAAATGCCTCTTTATCTTCTAATGTCTCTCGGTGGTAGCATTAACTATAAATTTAACTAAAGGGTCAGCCTTTCACTGTCACCGTCCGCATTCACAATGAAAGGCTGATTCTTGGTTCTAGAAGCGTATGGGTTTTTTCCATGAAACCTACCATTAACTACGTTAACGAATGGTGCTGATTTGTAATTTTGTGTTGCTGTACAGTATAATTATTAAATAACCTTTTTTAAATTATTTTATTTCAGGGGTGTTTTAGGTCTTTTCACAGGTAAATTCCTTAAATATTCTTAAAAAATAAACCTTTTCTACTATAAATAAATACAAGGTGTTTTAATAAATATATAAATTAATTTTAAATTTAAAAACCCACCACCGCGGACCACACCTGCATGTAAGAGCCACTTGCGCAATTTAAGTGGCGCATGCAGTATCCACATCATCACCGGAAACCACCATCCAGAGCAGCATTCAATGCACTTCACCGCTCTGGTTGTGGTAAATGCATCCAAAAATATCTTGGGAAGAACTTGAATGGCAAAGAAGGCAACTTTAGCTGGACAATGATATTAAAAAAAAAATGCCAGAAAAAACACCAAAAACTTGTCAGAGGAAGCATGTGATAGCGTGATTGAAATATGATAATTTAACAACCTAATATTAATTAACTAATCACACACAAAAATTCCTATTCTAACATTATCTCTTTTATTTTGTCACTTCCCCTCCTATTTTTGTATTTCAAAAGTGATTTTGATAAAATTTAATTTTTTAATTTTTTATTTATTTCAAAGTAATATGTTTTTAATGTTTCAAATCATTTTAACATGTTAATATCAAAAATAATTTTTAAAAAATAAAAAAATCATTAACATGTATTTTAACATAAAAAGTTATTTGAAAAACAACCATAACCACACTCTCAAATAAGCCCACCGTCATTATTAACTCTTTCATCATTGATATTATTATTATTATTATTATTATTATTATTATTATTATTATTATTTTGATTAATGTGAGTATTCAGGTCAGCTTATATATACCTAAACTAATTTTATAGACTTTAAAGTTAATGATTATATAAGTCTCCAGTAACCTTGAAGTTTATGAGACTCGAACTGGTAACCTTTAGGGAGTAAATATAGGGTCTGATCAATTAAGTTATACCCCTCAGAATTCATCTTTATTATCTCTAAAACCTTAATGATTTATTGGCTTACCGTTACTTTATTATATTATACTTTGAAATATGAGGGAAAACACCATGCATGCATTTATTGTAGATATAAACTTATTGTATTGTAGATCATATTATAGACATGACGTATTTATAATATAAACGTCAATGTACTACCTAGAAGATGGTCTTTTTTGTTTTTTAATTAAAAAGAGTTACTAGGTTGGGTCTTGCTAGACCTATTAGATGACATTGGGTTTTGCTCCTAGCAGGACTCAATACTTTAATGTTTTTTTTTTATTTTTTTATTTTAAGTTTTTTATATTGTATAAAAG